GTGTCATTTGGTTAAGGGGCATCAGCAAAATAAGAATGTCATTGTACTGTGTAACTTCCTAGTTTCTGTGCACATGACAATGAACCTTTTGAATCTTCAATTTGCTTCTTTTCCCGCTGTGAAAAAAACACAATCTAAGAACATTTACATTATCTTTAAATCAAATGTTTAATCACTACCTATACAATGTCTCCCACTTTAATTATAGGTCATTCTCAATAGTGAAATGCAGGCTTCATACATCTGTATCAAACATCCAAGAGAATCACCAATGACCAAAACACATTTTGGAATATTGGAGCCACTTGAGTACTTGAGTACATGTACTTAGTTACACTCAAGGAGTTGTAGCCATGCTGCATTAAAAAAGGATAATTATCCTTTATTAGGACTATTACAACAGCTCCTAATGGACCTACAGCCCCTGTTGAGTTCATGAGAAGTCAATCAATGTATTCTTACGCACATTTACTCTCAGAGCATGAATGTGTTGTTGTCACTGTTCTCGGCCACACCTATTCTGTGGTAGAAACGTCTAAAACCTGCCCCAGTGTTGAGGGATTTCCCAATACGTTATCAGGACGGGGGCTTTCCCACGTGACTGCTGTTGAAGATTCCCCTCAGACACACGCTTCCTCTTTAAATGTACTGACCACTGAACAAGCTTAGAGGGAGCTGTACTGCTATTTTATTTGCCAAAACCCCATCGAATGAGCTGCTGGGAAGATTTGTTGCACATGTATTCCTGCAGCTTTTCTTCTGGAAAGTCCAAGAGATTCCCTTTCAACATCCTCCTATGTGGATACGTTAGCAATGAAGTAATTGTTCTGTAAAGGTTTGGGGAATATTACCAGAAGGAGACAGACATATTTTGCATTTTTAGGTTTTGTAAAATCATTTAGATACCTTGACAAAATCTATTTGATGTTAAAGTTGTACTCAGATGAGCTACAGGAGCAGGCGACTTTACATTTTTTAACCTCTAAGTTTAGTGTTTTCTTGCATTTTTTTTTCTTTTGTACTAATACTTATGTGCTCTGAACAGTGAAGCCAGTGCTGAAGTGCCTGCAAGTTAAATATCACTGAGCTCACCAGGACTGCCTCGTATAAGCTCTGGCTCACTCAGACTCCAAAAGACTTCAAAAGTCCTAATTAAAAGCTAAATGATGTATTATGATATATTTTTTAATGATGAGTGTTCTGGCATTCCATCTGAAAATAATCTCAAAATTAAACAGAAAAAAGGCTTCAGGTGTGTGGTGTGCAGGAGCATGGCTGGCTTGACAGGCATGTCAGTGATCACATGCTTTGGGGCATGCTTTGGGGTCAGGCCTTTACAAGTGGACAGGTAGAGAGTCTTTGGGATCCCAGTTAGTCCCACCCCTTGTTCCTCTCTCGAACCACCATTTTGTGGTATGATGGATGGACATTCCCATGGTGTTTATACTTGCCTATAATTGTTTGAACAGATGAACGTGGAACCTTCAGGCATCTGGAAATTGTACCCAAGGATGAACCAGACAAAGCAGTGTGTTTGATGTGTGCCTTAAAACACATCCACAGGTGTGCCTCCAGTTAACACAAATGTTGTCAGTTAACCTATCAAAAGCTTCCAAAGCCATGACATCATCATCTGGACCAAATAGTTTGACGGTATAGTAAACTTAATGTATGTAAACTTCTGACTTTAAAGAAAGTAATAAAAAAATTCTCTAAACACAGTGTCTCTCTCTATTCTGGCATTTAGCAAGTAGAAATAGTTTTGGTAATCCTAACTGACCTAAAACAGGAAAAGCTTCATCTGATTTAATGTCAGACAGTGAGAGAAAAAAGATTTTCTGTCTTTTATACAGTGTGTGTAAACTTCTGGTTGCAACTGTATAATGTATGTATACATGTTGTATATTTGTATTTCTCATTTGTCCTGAGTAACTTATTTAAAAAGCAGTGCGTTCATATTGTGAATGTTCTTATCTAATCATTATTTAAAAATATTGGGTTAAAAAAAAAAAAGTTTTGATCAATGACTGGACATGAAAATGGACAAACCCTCTGTGATGCCACCAACAGGTTTCCTGAACGACAGTTTTAAAGCTCAGCGTTCAGCTGTTGCTATCTCAACAGAGCCTGACTCCTCCTAACACCCTGGCTAATCCCAAAATGAGCAAAGAGGAGGAACATGTGTGGTGCTGAGGTGGGCCATGGACTGTTGTGTCACTCAAAGCCTTAATTAGGCATAACTTTAAACCTTAATACAATTGAAACTAGTGAGTTAAATAAAAATATACCCTCTGTACAGTTGCCATGAATGGGGAAATTAGCCATAGAAACCAGAACCATTTTTAGTATCAGGCTGTGAACATGTTTATTTCTGCAGCAAAGTTGCACATTTTAACATGAAACTCAATGGGGACTAATTTTTGGAGGAATCTCAAGTGGCCACTCAAGGAACTGGAGGTTTTGACGCTTCATTTTTCAGCCCTGGAGGTTGCCGCTTGGTTTGGATTGCAAATACATACACATTTCTTTGAGACAAGAACTCTGATAATTAAATAAGAAGTCACAAATTCTGTTTGATTGCCCCCATTAAATAAAGTGTCAAACTACATTGTTGTCTGTGTTCAGTGTGTCAGTACTTTAGTTTAGCAAATTAAACAGGCTGACGTGTTAAATAATTGTAATTTTAACTGAACCACATGAAGCCTTTGAGATAATTAGCAGCTACATATGGTGATCAGTTAGTAGAAAACTAATTCCTACACAATGCAAACGAGAACAATTTGAACATCAATCTAAAATTGCAACAGTTTTGTGAGACCAGTGTTTACTTAATTTCTTGCTCTTCGTCAGAGTCTGCAAAAAAATGTATTCTGCTTCGTATTAGTGTTAAGTTTGTTTCATCAAAAGGATTGGAAAACAAATAAAACAGAAAATACTGTTACACAGTCAGGATGCTTGTATTTATTCCTTTTTAATAATCCCCTGCTGAAATCCCCCCCTTCTTTAAAAAAAACCAAAAACCTTTTTAACCTGTTCACATGACACATCCTGAGCAAAACAATCAGTCAATGCAATGGCTGAGCATTTCTACCAGGAAACTACAACGTACCGTTAACAGTCTCATTGTAACGTCTGGGGTTTCGTGTGACAAACATCAGTCACGTCAGTTTGCGGTGCAGGAATTTCTGTATTGTTTCTCCTATTCACAACTGGTATCTGGTCCACACCATCGCAAGATTAAATCACTCCAGTATTTCAACTTCCCATTAGGTAGCGTAGAGCAGTTTTACCGAGTTTGTGCAGAGCAGGGGAGGAGCTGGTGCGCTCGAGCTGCAAGTATAGAGGGGTGAGTCGTGAGAGAGGCAAATCTGCACGTTGAAGAGGGGGTGAGGGTATAGAGGTACATCTGTGTGATTTTAAGGCAGGAAGGGATTAATTTAATGGAAATAACTTCTAATGATTGAATCAATGACTGTATTTTCCTGTCATGACACCCCCAGCCTGAGCCTCTGCCCTGACTGGCTCCCTGTTCGCCCTCTCTTCTCCTTCCTCTCTGCCTCTTTTTCTCCTCCTGGCTCACCCTCTGAGGCCTTGTCCACATGTAGCAGGGTTTTTATCAAACCGAATATCCTCCCCCCTACACAGCACCTCGTTTTTCGAAAAAAAATGGATCCACACCTAACTGCATAAGTGTGTTGTTAAGTACATTCATAAGCATGCCAAACCTTTAGGCGGCAGTAGTTCCCCAAGTCCTATCCAATTAGAGTAAGCTTCCGTCCCTTGACGTTGTAAAATAACCATCCTTAACGTCGTCCTTCGCCTGTGTTCTTGGACATGGAGCAGTATCTGGGCTTGTAAAAGCAAGCAAGCAAAAAGCGTCTGGACAAGAGACAACGTCATCACAGTTTTGAGGGCATACACACTGTTTCCAAATGTAAACACAGGTCGCATATGAGACGTAAGAGCATATTTTTTCGCAGGCAGTGACCTTTCAAAACCTAAAACTCCAGTTACTGATGTCCACAAAGAGACGCATAAACGGGTTATTCGCAAATCTTCACTTTGGTTGGAGGTTTTTGACAGATTCGTTTTTAATGTCGTAAATCAGCACTTCCGTGTGGATGACGGGCCACATTGTAGAAAAATATCTTTGTTTTGTGAGATACCCTGCTACGTGTGGACAAGGCCTCAGTCACTCCAGCGCTGCTCACAGCTGGATTACAGCTCTTGGAGACAGCTGTGGCTTACCAGCTCACCTGAGCCCAATCGTCCACCTCCTGCTACAAAAGCCCTCTGCATTCCTCCACACCCTGCCAAACCATAAACCGTCATCCCCATGTTTCTGCTGATCCCTGCTCTGTTCCCTGCCTTCCTGCCTCTGATCCTCAACCTGTATTCCCTCAGCCAGCTTTCTCCTGCCACCAATCCCCACCCTGCTTCCAGCCTGGATTCCCTGAGCTTGTCTTCTCCTCTATATTGGTTTTTGTTTATCTATCATTTAATAAACTCCTTTGTTACATTCACCTGCCTGTCTGCCTGTATCTGTGTCTGCACCTGGGTTCCCAGACCCAAATTTTTATTTCTTATTACTTTAATCAATTTGAAGTTCTTTCAGGGACAGCTGTTTTCCTTCTTTAATGGGAGGGTATGAATACATTTGAGGATGACTGTAGGTAAAGGTCGTTACTAGTAGGAATACATGAGAAGTTTCAGCAGAGCTGTTAAGGCTTATTATTTCAAGAGAATGTGGGCTATTGTATATAGATTTCTATAGCGCTCTCTCCTGGATAAAAAGAGGCTGAGCAGTAGGAGAAACACATTGTCTGCTAGTGCAGACATGTCGCCCAACCTGACTATAAATGCGCCTGTGTGCTCCTGTGGGCGTGGCTGAACATTCACTGGCTGCTTTACCTGGAAGCAGTGTAACCTGAGCTGAAAGGTGGTGGTAGAAGGCGTGATTTAAATCACTGCAGCTTTCCTTTTTTCGTGGTCAGTGAAGCTCTTTAGGTATTGCAACACAAACAAAACAGGGCCAGACACTCTGTTTATATATTTGCTATTAAACACTTTCATGGACTGAGCAACTGCCTGGATAAAGAATTATGATGCCAAGTTTAGGGTCAAAAAGGAAAGACAATCAATCCAGGATGGATAGAAACATTGGAGACTTGCCGCAGGTAAGATTTCAGCATAATAAGTTAGACAAGAAGGCCAACATTAAGCAGTAAGTTCTTTAAATGGCAATTGCGAAGCTCTAATTTACCATGTTTATGAGAGTGTAAAATCAATGCTTCTGCCCATGAGTCATTAAATAACAACAGCTTCACCGTAGTGTTAGTTCCAAAGAAAGCAGCCCTCTTGCTTTCGTTAACGTCAGGTCTGTGCAGTGTGAGGAGACACAGTTTTGCTTCTGTTTTTGGGACTTTCAAGCATTTTTTACTTCCTCAATTGACTTCCCTGCTGTTGGCAGTTCCCCACAATCGGAGCAGTTACTTACTTGGAAATGTGACAGACAATGACTGATTTAGGGAAGGTAGCAGGTTCCTGTAATGTCATGATAAAGATGCTGATTGTACTTTACCACACAATAGATTTTCAGTGAGCTGTGACCAACACATGCTGGCACACATACGGTGCTCTGTGAAGTAAGAAAAAACAAAGACGGTTCTGTCTCTCATAGCCATAAAAAGTTTTTAGGCAGTGCTTTAGGGAAGGAGCGATTGTGATGGCAGTTAAAGAAAGCACATGAAAGATGGTCCGTTTGTTTGTTGCCTTGCACTATTGTCACTTTACAGTTCGCATACAGTTCTTTCTCAATGGGGATAATCCCTCAGATTTGGAAAGGAAAACCTAAAAATACTTCCTCTTTATTTACTACACTTTTGTGCTTTCAGCTGAGCAATGAGATGCAGTTGAGCATCATGAACAAGGTGAAGAGTGGAGAGCTATCCATCGAGGATGCTCTGAACCAGGCCAGGAAGGACAGCGAGCAGCTGCTCAAACAAAAGAGCCTGGCTGAAGAGGTACCCGCACTTAAAGCAAGTTTCCCTCACACTTTGAAGCACGTACACAAATTTCATGTTGTCCTGAGTCTGAGTGTGGCCTGGCTGTGCATAAAATTGTACTGACTCCTGAACTTGTAGAAAGAGGTCATGGCGATGGAACTGTTTATGACATGAATCACAGAAAGCATCCACATCAGTGAATCAATCTGCGTAACAGGAGCGCCTGACTGCTCCAAAGACTGATAACATCCACCAGCAGTTTTGTTTGATCTTTGACATTTCCATATTTTGATTTTTCTTTTTAATTAAATGCGAATATGTTTTTCAAGGAATCGTTCAGTTTTACATCCATACCCATTTCACATCATGCTATAGTCAATATTTTATATTGCCAATAGATTGCTGTTTGTTTGTTTGAGCCCACAAGAATCCCCACTCTGCAGCTACTACCGGCAGTATTAAGCATTTAAATGTCTTTCAGCTGATCGTTTTAGTATTCTGGCCTGAAACTCTGCTTTTTTTAAAATTTACTTTCACCACTTTGATGCTGTTTTGGCAGCTATTTTCACTAAACACAAACAGCTGCTAACTATCCTCTATGTGTCATCTGCTTAGCACCAAACAGTCAACAGACAAAGTTAGCGACCTGTTGGTGAACATAGTGAAGCTGTGAAAGACACAGTTTCTGTATCTGTCAAAAACAGAAAAAAAATCCCCAAAACTTTATTACTTTATTGGTAGGCATATGTTTTCACTTTGGAGATAGAAAGAGTGGGTTCCAGTTCTCTATTTAACAAAGACATGGAGCGGTATCAGTCATCTTAATTAACCCTGACAGGTTATCAGTTTAAAGATAATATTTTTGACCTCTATTGCTGTGTGCAAGACTTTCTTATAAAGCCTGAAGCTGGAGGAAGCTTGTCTTTTAAAATGATACTGTTGTGCCCCACATGTGTCCTCTTCTGCTTCTTAAACATTGTTGTGTTAATAAGCTACTCGGCCTGTTGGATCAGTTTTAGACTGAATAAGCTTGTGGCCAGTTTGAGTTGCCTAGAGCTATTTTTATGATGGAATGTAGAAGGTAGCTTTTGTTCCACGCCTTAGCAGGACACAAACAAAGGAAAGAGCAATTTAATAATTTTCTAAGGAGGTGATTTCCCACTGAGTTTCAATATGTGAAATCTGTGCTCTTGCAGGAACCGCAACCCTCCCAGTACAACTTCAGCGTTCACAAGCACGGCCGCTACAGGTGGCAGAAGCGGGTTTTTCAGGTGAGTTAAGAAACAGTACGCCAGCATGCTATTACCCTCACAATGACAGTAGGCTGATGTTTAGCAGGTGTACTCTTGTTCAAGTTTAGTGCGTTAGCATGCTAACATTTACCAATTAGCAGTAAACCCAAAGTAAAGTGGAGACCCGGAGGGGGGGGAATGTCAATAGCATTGTAGGTACTTTTTCATAAACCAGAAAACTAAACAAATGAATTTTGTCACTTGATGATGACAACATATTGGAAATTATTTTATCTCCAAAGTGATTACGACACTACAGGGAACATAATGGAATCACTATTAGGACTGATCCCCCGAGTACCAATGTCAGTACCAAACTCCATGTCAGTCTATCTCATAGGTATTAGCAGGAAGTGGTTTTAATCCCAAATGGATCGGATCTGAAATATTATATGCATGAATTTTATTTATCCATATATGCATATTAGTTAATTAATTCTTGATCGATAATGCTGCGATTATTAAAGAAAAATATTCAAATTTACAACATCTGCGCGCAGTGGATGTAAACAAAGGAAAAGGGTTAGGTTTGTGCCGATACAGACCAATAAAAGTGATATATTTCAGGCTAGTCCTAACTGGTGGACTAACCAAAATTGGTAAACCTTGAGATACGCTGCTAATGCGAATGGCTAAAACTCTGTTGCCATTTTTACAGTGTTTACAGTAATTGTATACTATATTGATGCTCATATATGCTAATTTAACATTTCTGTGAACATCTAGATTGACTTCAACACCAAAATGCTGTGCAGCATAGAGAAGGGCATCATCAAGCGACAGCTTCCCTTCTCTGTTGTCAAGAGTTGTGATGATGGAGTGGGTTCCAGGTTCTCCATTTCCTTTAAAGGACACCATGACTATGAACTGGAGGCCACATCACTGGAGGACAAACATAAGGTAAATGTACAGCTTATGTGGACACAGTCAAGCTATAAAAATAAACCAGCGCATGAAAAACAGCAAAAATCATGATGTATAATAATTCATGCCAAATGGGGGAAAGATGTCATTCTCGTATTCCTTTGCGGTCACTTGTTGTTGATGCTTTCATTGTTCCCTTTGTCATGCTTGCTGTTCTGTCTGTTTGAATAGATCATGCAGCTTGTGAATCAGATTATTTATGGGAACATATACAGCAGTCTTGACGAGGACAATGCAGAAACACATCAGCTGCCTCAAGCATCACGAAGCCTACGGGAAGGTGTCTTACTACTGCACCGAGGTGGCCTGGCATCATTCAAATGGGTGAAGTACGTATGTGTTTTTTATTATTGCGGCGCTGCTATTATAAAACAGCTACACAACAGCTTGGTTTGATTCAGTTCAGCTTTATCTATATGGCGCCAATTCACAATATAAGTCATCTGAAGACACTTTGCATAGGAAGGTGAAGACCTCACAATGTTATATTATAGATAGAAATCCAAATGATTCCCTTTGAACAAGCTCTTTTGTGATAACGGGAAGAAAAAAGTCCTCTTGAACAGGAAGAAACCTCCGGCAGAGCCAGGCTCAGGGCGGGCAGCCATCTGCCTCAACTGGTTGGGATAGAAGATCAGAAAAACAATGCAACAAATAACTAGTGATGAGAAATAAACTAACATTTAATTAACTATGACTCACAACTGTGGTTCATTTCTATACTACTAATCTGAATTCTAAGCTGCTTTTTAGTTTGTTTTATGTGCGACTGGAGAAGTGACAACACGTCATAGACTCTCCCCTTCGGCCAACAACCTTTTAGTGTCAAACTCTGCTCATCCATAACGCTGCACAGTAAAGTCGGAGGATTCAAGTGAAGTAGCAAAAAGAGAAGCCCATTCTAGACAGAGGGGCGACTCTAAGTATACTCAAAACTGCTTATTTGCTTTCTCACTGAGTGCTGCTGAGGAGGTTGATGCCACTCATGTCTCCATACTAATGATCAAGCAGGAAAGCATTCATATCTGGTATCTGTCAGCCCCAGATCATGTGATTCAGCTGCTATCTGCTGTCAGATTCCCGTACTTGAAGCCTGTTATCAACCATCTTTTTTTAACAGAGTTCCCATAACTGAGTCTTATTGTAAGTCAGCATCTGGGCCTTCTTCTCTGTTTCCTCATATCATAGTGGGCTGAGAGGCAGTCTTTGTCGCTTGTGAATAAGGCAGGAAAGTCGGGCTTTATACTGAGTTGACCATCTCTTGGCTACACTTTCTATTCAACTGAAGGACAGTTATGACAGTGGCATTGATCTTCTGATCTATATAGCACAAGCTAATACGTGTATTTACCAAAATGTCTATTTCTCTTTAAGCCTGGCTCTCTCTTCTTGAATTGGCAGTGACATTACCTTGTCCATCGGTGCTTTTTTTTCTTTCTTCTTTTCTATAAAATAGAGCCAGATCATTAAGTCAGCTAGGCTAATATACTGACAGGCACAGGTAGGTCAGTATCACTCGAAAAAATCCTGTATTGAGCGGCTCGAGTACAAAACAGCAAAATGCAAGGAACTAAAGTATAATAACAGCAACACCAGCATATGGCATTCATACATTCTGAATACACTTGACATGTACCTTAGAAGACAGATTTCAGGTCTTGATGTTGAGGCCTTCACTACACTGCTCCGTCTCCATTTTGTTCCAGGTATGAGGTCCAGCTCCACCCTGGTCAACTAACACTGGTGCCGTTCAAGCGGCGAGGCCCTGCTGACGGCGAGGTGACATCCTGGGTGCCATCGTCCATCACCATTCACCTGTCAGATGGCGACACCAGTGTGCAGAAACCTCACAGCTCCGACACTTTCACTCTGATCACCCACAAAAATGAGTACCAGTGAGTGAAGCTTAGAAATACTGAGTAATTAGTGAATTCTGTCAATCACACCACATGTGCTACTTTTGGAATTAATTTACAGCCTTGTACTGGGATGTATTTTCACTCAGTAGATGTTTTCTTTTCTTTTTTTCAATGCATCTATCTTTATTGTAGCAGCTATGATGTAGCTTAATTGGCATGATAATGCCATACATATTGGCCTGAAGTGTTCATTCAAGGGACCTCTTCCTGCTACCTAATTAAAATAAATTAAATGGAATTTTACAAGATTAAAAAAAAATCTAATTTATTAATTTACAACTTTTTGAGTTGCAAACCTCATTTTAAGGGGTGGATTGACATAGTAACGTTGTTGTGCAATTTAAGCTAAAGTTTATGTGTAAGTTGATTTAAAACTAATTCAAGTCGAAGTAACTTCATGAATTTGGCCTGATATTGATTTTTTCACTTTAAGTTCAGAATTTCAAGTCCTCTCCTCTAACCTAACATGTCTGGACAATTTCAGACTGGTAGTTAAAAATATATTTGGTGATAGAGGAGAAGCTAATTCCTCTAACTTAACCTAGCTTAACTTTACTTTAGCATAATTAAAGTAGAAATTACCTGAAATCAAAAAGACTGATGCAAACTGTTGCATTATTTACTTATTTATATTCTTGAGCCCAAACCTTATCAAACTTTAAAAAAAAATTTTTTTTAGCCAGATTTGTGTACTAGATTTATTTCCTCTAATAAGGCAAATGTTGTTGATTTATTGCAGGTTCAGGGTGCCGGCACCTGATCAAACAGTGTCCCCTGGCACTGTCCAGAGCGAGCGGGATGCTTGGGTCCAAGCCATTCACAGACTGTGTTCGGACTGGAAGAGGAAATCCAGGAGCGAACACATGTACATGGAAATAGAGACCTTCCGACATCTCAGCATACCCGAAGACGCAGAGGACAGCGATGCGGATCTCGAGTCAAGTGGCGGATTCAGTGCTGGAAGTACCTTTTATCCTCCAGTTGACTATGGAAATGCAGACCCCACATCCAGAGGCGGAGATCAGTTATCAGCAGGCGATGTGAGTCAAACTTGTCCCTCAGCTGATTACACAAAGCCTGTTCCTAGACCTCGCCTCACGAAGAAGAATATTGGACGTGATGTTTTGCCTCCCATCCCATCACCAACCTCTCCCCGTGCACCTGCCCCAACATCACCCACCTCCCCTCCACCCTCATCCGGCCCTGCTGGCCTCACATCTTCGTCCACAGTCCCAGAGTCTCATGAATCAGGCTCTTTGGTTGTTAAAGGGCCTTCACTCCCAAGCATCCCACCTCCCCCACCTTTACCCAACAAGTTCAAGACAAAATCAAGAAAAGCACGCACCAAGGCTTTCCACTGGGACCTTGTTGGCTCAGAGAAGGTAACACTGTCACTTTTCACTTGCAGTTTCATTCATCAGAAGACACTAAATTACCATATTTTTCTGGTTAACTATAAAGTTTATTGGTGTGAATCATTCATACTTAAATGTTGTGCTTTATTGTTTGGTAAAAATAGTAAGGTCAGTTGTATCATAGTTTCACTTCATTATTCCTCATATTGGATCATTGATGGGAATTATTCTTTGTTTTGTCTGAGTTATTTCTTTCCAAGTGTTGTTGTTTTGTGTTAACATTGATTTCCTCATGAAATTAAGCTGTCTCGCTACAGAATTAATTTGTTTCTTGGCAGATTGCAAAATCATTTTGGATACAGGAAAACGCCGGGAGGATTGAAGTCGACACATCACGCTTATACGAGCAATTTGCTGTTAAAGATCTGGGGACGTTTGAAGCAGCTGAGCCGAGTAATACCCAGCATATTATGCTCAACCAGAAGATTGCGCACAACTTTAGTGAGTAGCTCAACAATAAATATGTCTGAGTTTTGAGGTGAAGTTGCTCATAAATATTGTCAGCTGCAATGCGTAATTTGTTGCATTTAAGGAGGGAGATTAGCTTTTCTCAGCAAAAATAATAGTTTAATTTCCATGCTGTAATGAAAAGCCATAGTTCCAGAATACATCTAATAAGGGAGCTTTTTCCGACAGTGTTATAAATTACAAGGTGTGTTTCTACAACCACCAGAGGGAAGCACTACACAGAAAGAGTAACAAGGATCTCTACAGAGGCAGCGCCAATGCCAGGTTCTTTAATTTTCCTAAATTAGACTTTAATTGCCCCCAATTAAAAGAAAGTTGACCTGAGACTGTTTCAGGGAAAGCATAAAAATGATGCCATTTTTCTCTTTTTAAATGAGACTCAGTGGCTGTAGAGCAGATAGATGGATGTTCTGCATGTGTGTCTGCAGGGGGCAGTGTGTCCTCAATCCAGCGGGGCCTCAACTGCCCCTTGGAATCTGCAGAGCGATTGTGGAGTGGAACATATTCTATTTCTCGTCTAATGGCTTTTCACTTTTGATTAACTGAGTGTATGTGGCTTGTATATTTCAAGACCTAAGCCAGGGGAGAACACTTCAGAAGCTCCGTCTCGCAGGTCCTCCGAGTGGCACAGTCACTGTGAGGCGATACAGATGTGGTGGTGGGCTGCTAAATGGAATCAGTGTGAATATGCAGACTGGCAACATAATTAGAGTTCACATGGTCATGAAATATGGATAGGGGATCTGAGTGACAATGGCAGTGATTTCCTGCCTTGACACAGAATACCCCAGCACTGTGCTCCTTTCCTGACCTGGAAACTTTTGGTTGTGTCAGGAGCATGAGCTGAGTGATGACAGCCTGCAGGCAACTCGAGGCCAAGCTGCAAGCTTTAGAACAATTTAGACATTTGAAGAACAAGGGAGACTGTCTGTCTGGCTTTTTCTGCTTCTCTGGTCCTATTAACACCAATATAGATAGTGGCAGTCCAAAACTGTAATATAAAGGTACTCCAGAGCAAGTTCCTGCACTGAAAATATCACTTAAGTAGAAGTGTGTAAATACTATCAGCAAAAAGTCCTTAACATATCAGAAACAATGGCTCCTGTGAGTGTTATACTATACTAAAGTATTCGATTGTTGTTACCGATGCATTCATGTGTAAGCAACATTTTACGCTTGCAACGAGTCACGATAGTTTTGTACAGTATTTGCTATTTTTTTTAAAAAATTTTACCACCGCATTCTTATTCATAAGCTCCTAAACTGTATGTATAAATAGGACAACCTTTACTTCTGAGCTGTACTGAAGCAGATTTAAAATTCAAGAGTTTTTAAGGAGGTCACATGCTCACACAGCACGGGCAGTGAAATGAAAAGTGACTGTTCTGCAAGGCTGTGAAATAACAACAAGACACGATAGAAAACATTGCTTGAAAATAGAAAAAGTCATAAATAGTGAGAGGTAAAGAAACTGAAACCAAAGTGCAGAGTACATTGTGCAAGAGTTGCATTTAAGGTGAGTGTATATGTTATGTACATATTTACATTGTGGTGGTGTATTATACCTTAGAGATGAGGTGTCTATGATTTGGATTTATATGTGAGGTCAATATATATGCTATGAATATAAATATAAAGTAACATAAAATGCGATTACTAAAGTAAGTACAAGTACTCCAGTTTAGGACTAAAGAGTAGAAATCGTTAATTAACTTACACCACTGCATTTGCATTTTGTATCTGACTTTGAGGCAACTTTTAATCAATAAGTTCTGTTTCTGTAATAAAAACAGAACAGAATCAGTCCAGAGGTGATTTCTGCCTGTTTACATTATTAAAACTCTCACAGGATTCAGCTTTCAAAGACACCAAATACGAGGGAAAAATAACACAGTTGTTAATAGGACTTCTCTTATTATCCATCTCTCTCTCTCAATCTCTTGGCATACCTCACACAGACACAGTCACACGTGCCCTCTCCCTGCTCTTGTTTGCATGTTTATCACCACAAACCTGCCTAAATTTGTGCTGTTTATTCAGCTCATATCTCATTCTTTGCCACACTATTTATTCATCTGATCCCATTACAGTGGGAGCCAGTGTGCATGCAAAATCTCACACTCTTGTTTTTTTTTTTACAAAGATAGAAACAGCTCAGCAGACAGTGAAACTCCACCTCGATCAGATAATATCACAAGTACGCGATCAATAATTAATGAACAAACTCAGACCTGATAATTAGCATTATGCATAAAGCTGGCACCGTTGCTGTAATGACAATGACTTACAGTTACTTATTCTGCAGAAAAAAACTGCCTATAGCCAAGATTTTTTTTAAACTATTACATTATGAATACACATTTATCAATGTTAGTTACTGTGTTTGATGTGTTAATTGCCCAGTTGTTCCCTGCGTGTGAGTTAATAAATGGGAGAGCATAGGATTTTAAAACATTCTTTTAAAAATGTCTCCTCTTGAACAGTTTCTTACACTTATTTAAATAAGATTTAAATTAAGTTTATAGAGGGTATCACCTCTGCACCTGTGAAATGTGACAAGGGACCCTAACTAGACTCTGATTTTATTATGAGCAAGTCAAAAAAAAAAAAAAAAAGAAATAAAAGAAGCCAATGTCCTGTTTGACCAGCCACAGCATTAAAACCACTAACATTGATCATCTTGTTACAATGCAAAGTTGTGCTGGGAAACCTTGAGTCCTAGCATTCAGGGTGGCAGAAAATCCAGGGTGGGATCAGGGGACGAAGGAGACCCACACAAAATTAGGAGGGTGGTTTTATTGTAGTGGCTGATCTTTGCCTGGTCATCATGTTAGTTTATTGTAATTACTTGTTGTATAATAGCTGAGTAAAAAGTGTGATATTTCACTTTAAAAGTAGTGGAGTAGAGGTAGAAAGTAGCTTAAAATAAGAAACTCAAATAAAATCCCTCATAGTTGTACTTCTGCTCAGCAATAGTAATAAATATTTCTCTAATGAGATGAGATCCACGGTGGATTTGTATGATCAAAGTGCATTTCGGTTTAGAATGTGTGTCCGACTAATATGGTTATTTACCTTGAGAGCTCCTGTGCATGCTGCCTATTTAATGACTGGAAATGTCGCACTCCTAATTAAAAGTACACCTGTGGCTTCCTGTGCCCAGTGGGATACACTCTCCATCTCCATACTCTAATTTGCCAGGGCAATGCCCAGTTTGTCTGAGTGCCAGTCAACAAAGGGCTTAATTTGCACTTGTGTGTGTGTTTGTGTGTGTTTTGGGGGGCCAGATGAGATAGCCTAACCCTCACTCATGAGGACACTAGTAGTGCTCAAAATTGTTTTTGATGTTGTGATTCCTCATTTGAAAATGTGACATGAAAGCCTCTGTTGGTCCTGCTAAGGGAATTACTGTCTCAAGTCTTTAATGTCAAGGATTTAGAGACGTGTTGATTACAGCTTTGTACCTCTGAAATGCTTCTCATTTAACATGCTTATTTTATTCACTTTGTCATGAGCAGATTTTCAATCAGTTTGATGACTTGAACTCACTTCTTTAACTCTCACTTCAGATTGGAAATGCTAAAAGTCAACATTAGGGGACAGTTAAAGGAACAGTTCAACATTCTGGGAAATGCTATTTGTTCATCAGCTTCTTTGCTCAGACTTATGTAAAACGACACCGCTTTTATTTGGTGTGTTTCAAAATCTACACTTAATGCTAAATAGTGTGCCAGACAAAACCCAAATACATAGTTTTCCAAATGCAGTTTGCCAAAAACACCTTTGTGTCCTACTACATTCGACTGAATTTTGCAGTATGCAAGCCAGCCTGCTTTTCTGGCCATTCTGACCCACAATCCTCTGTGCAGTTACATCACAGTGTCTTGCGTAAGTTTAAACAAACTTCACCCACAGAGAATAAACAACAGCTTATTTTGCACTATGGACAGTCAAAGTTTAAGGTACATTATCATGATGAAGCTGTACATCCCAGTCTTCATTTGAAAGGGCAGCTGTTATATGTAATTAAAGTATGAAGAAGTAGCATGCGATCTGGAACGCAACCTTTGTCTGTGTTCAATGTGGAACCAGCAGCAGGTTAGCTTAGCTTAGCATAAGATGGCAAACAGATGGACAACTGGATCAACGCAGTCTAAAGGTAGCAGAATTTGCTCACTAGCATCTTTAGCGCTCATGTATTATTATTGCTTTTATATTTAATAACTTAATTGAAAAGTGAAAATAGCTGCTTTAAAAGTGACTGCTTTTATATTTAGTTTTTTTGTATGAATTAAACAAGCAAGATATATGGTGTCAAGTAATGAACTTTAGAGGTGCAGTTAGGTTTAAAGCAATCACTATATATAAAAATGGACTAACCCTGGCTTACATCACCTATAGGTATTAGTTTTAAACCTCAGCATGAAGGCCATGCAAACATCTCTCACAATCAACTGTCCTGTTACAGCACCCAGCTGTCAGTCAAAGCAGCCATACCCTTAACTATGCGAAACATTAAGCCTTAATCCAAATTAAATGAGTAAGTTACATAAAAATACACACCTGTACATTTGCCAATAATGTGACAATAAGCTGTAGAGGCGAAAACCATTCTTTGTTCAAGGCTGTAAGCATGTTTACTTCTGCTGTAAACTTAGACATTTCAACATGGGATTGGCTCCAGTATAGAGTCAGCCTCGAGTGGCCATTTGAGGAACTGCAGTTTTTGGCACCTCCATGTTGGCTTCATCTCTCAGCCCTCCAGATGACTCCTTGCTTCACACTAATCATTATGCTAAGCTAAGCTAATTATATCAATCTCATCTACCTTTCACAAAGTGGAGAAAAAAAAAATTTCCTTCCCAAACTGTCAAACTCTTCCTTTAAGATGTAGTACACCGTATTTTCAGCATTGGAAATTAGAGCTTCCAGTTACTTCGCCCCCATTTTAAATACAAACAATTAGATGATTAGATTGGTGTGAATGTCTGAGAAGCTCAAGTATACTGTATTTTGTAAAATTCATTATGTATTTTACATACATGTCTGAAGCTCTGAGGCTCCTAATGAATGTTTCCCACAGCTCCTGAATTATGCAGAGGCATTTTCTATAAAACAGAGAAAAAAAATCACATCAGCTTTGACTTGATAGAATGCAAATCTGTGCATTTCCCTAAGGCATTTGGGAGAAAGTAATTAAGCAAAGGACCCTTTGTCTTCGGAATGCTTTTTGAGTCATTTCATCGCAGGATAAGAAGACTATCTGTCAAGAGAAAAGCTTTCATGTACCATTGAGTGTGTTGACTTTTTCTAATCTATTGTTCCTCTAGACATTTTCCTCAAAAGTTTTCCGGTGCAACCAGGAGAGCTGAAGGACAAACTGTTTGTCATTAATGAGGAAGATGGAGGCCTGTCTGATGAGCACATCACCTCTCTGAGGAGGTATGACTTTGTGCCAAAAAATGCTGATTTGTATTCATTCCTTATAGCGTCACCGCTGAAGCTGAGAGGTGGATGACTTTTCCTGCCCAAGTCCATGGGCGGTTGATGTGGGTTTTTCATTGGCAGAGGCAAAACCTTTGGAAACTAGCAGGTTAGCAAACCATCAACAAGGGATGTGAGTGCACGGTACAGCCAGGACAATGTGAAACAGTGGAAACAGCTGCTAGTTCATGTGAGAAGGACACAAGCTTTGCACAGCAGTCTTCACTGTATTCTAATACTAAAGAGCAGATGCCAGAACCTTTTACCAGAGCAGCTTACTAATAAAAGTTTTATCTCAGGTTATTTGTGGAGATGGAAACTATTGACATGCCCTCAGGAGTATTACACTGAAAGCGGGTAAAATGCTTCCCGATTCTTACCTGCAGTTTACTCAGTGGCTCTGCATGCTGACCTCCTGGAAGGCAAGACTAATGTACTGTGTGGAAGATTTTATTTATTCTATGAAAACGTAATATATATTTTAATGCGCTGTAGCGTAGGCCTGAGAAATACAATCTTGAAAGAACCACTCCCAACAGGTGATGCAATATTAATGGCCGATGCTCCTCCGGTGGCACATAGCTTGACTCGCGGAAAAAGTGAACGCGTTTGGTTTGAGGTCAGAAGGTGCAGAAATGACAGAAGAAGGAAGTCCAATTTAAGACAAGCAGAGTTCAAATTCAGTGCATACGAGGAAATGGCTGTTTGCATCAGCGTCTCGCAGTTTTATAGAAGCTGACCGGGACGATCAGCGTCACTTAGCTTTTAAACGCTTGTCTTTGTCCAGGCCAGTGGAAATCAATCTAATGGCATCAGTGCAGACGAGTGAGCGAGGAAACATGTGACGATATAAAGGGGAGAAGGTCAAGAAAGAAAAGCATCACCCCAAGTGCGATAACAGCTTTTGAAAATTGAAATGCATGTTTTTATTTTTTGGCTACATAAATAAGGACTGATAGTTTGGACAGCTGCATTTTCTCTGTCGCTCCTAACGCTTCCACTTGACATGATGCAAAAATGAATATACTCTCCTCTTAAATAAGCTGAAAATGAGCTTGATTTCTGAAACCCGCTAAGATTGATTCTGAGGTTTTAAAGGGTCCTAGGAGCTTCAATTAGGGGGTGCAAGACTCACACACTGATTATACTACTATAAAGAATTAGACTCCATCAAAGTTACTTAAATAAAAGTGAAGGAGGTCCCTATTCGTCAAAACTTGCCGAATGTTTTCAGAAATCTGATCCCCAACTCCATATACAGTAGACTGTTTGAGGACATACGCTTTTTTTCCCCCCTTAGCAATAAAATATTCACTGCGGCACCTAAAGATATCAGTTCTAGAAGGAAAGTTTCTGCTTCTGTGATTGTTTCCAAACTTTCCTCCATACTTGATGTTGAGAGGTTCTCTTGCGAGTGTGAGATTTGTTGGGTTTTTTGTGTATATTTTTGTAGGGTCACAACTTCAGTTCATTATTAGTCAGGTTGGTCTCTATAATTATTGATGCTGTTGGGTCTTTGCCTTATTATTTAAAATAGTCAGGTTAAGCGCCGTAATTCATAATACAGAAGGTTCCTAACCATAGCATTTATAATAGTCAGGTAAAGTAGTATTTCTTATAATTAATGTAGAATTTGAATCCCTCGTGTGAATTATTTAGGTAAACTTATATCATAAACAACCCAGCAGGGTCTCAACCCCATATTAAAATTCTTCCGTAAGTCCTAACCTTTTCTTACTGTTGTTATAAACGTAAAAACTGTGACTTGACACAACTTGATGATTTTTATGCTTATTCTAAGCAATATGAACATATACTTTTTATAAATTCACCCTGTAGCTTTCTGGCTTCCAATGCCACCAGTTTGGTTAACTACCACCACGATCACCACTGTTGACCAGGCTTGACAATCATTAGCTGGACAGCGAAATGAATCATAACGTAGCTCCATACTGATAAATGTGTTAATAAGCAAATGTTTGCTGAAAACATTACCGTATCAATTTGTCCACCTGTGGACAAAAAACCCCATCATTTAAGATTTTAATGACTTTAGGGGGTTTTTGTAAATAAATAGCAAACAAATTGACCTAGTGTTTACCTTATAATTGCCTTTATTCATATATTAATTCATATATAAGGGAACAGCATTCATAAATCCAATTTGTCTGTCAGATTTAGTTGCAACTGTTGCCCTCCCTGAACTATATAATATAATACTTTATAGTGAAAGACACAACAACATCAGATCACATACAGGTACGAACAAGAGGTGGAATCGTGTAAAATTAACTACAGAGCAACAGATACAAGCAAGTCAAGACTAAACATCCAAAAGAACTCCAATCTGTTGCCAAACAGTATAAAGAATAGTTGAAATATACCTATGTAATCGTAAAGAAGAATGAAACAGGTACACAGGTCCATGACCATGACAGATCAGACTTCAAACTAACTACATAGACACAGGTGGACGGAGAAAAATGAAAATATATGAAATATCACAGGGGCACTGCTGTTTTTCCAACAGCTAAACTTCCAAATTTCTGCCAGTCTGTCAAATCAAGTTGCAAGTTGCATTATTCACCTCTACTACAGCCTTGACACAGCAATTTTTTGAATCTAGGCTGCAACAATCATAATCTTTGTTCTGTAGATTTGTCAACATGGGTATGAATTTTAGTTGTTTTTTTTTCTCCATGTACATTAATAGAAATAATAAAAATGAAATGCATATTATTAGAATCAGCCTGGTGCGTGTTTGGTTTTGACAAATGGTACCTGTTCTACACAAACCTCAACCCTCGCCCTTTCTCTAACCATAAACTTTGACTTGCTAGCTAGCTACAGTCTGATCGTGGATTTATAGTTCAGCATTGGTGTCTGTTTGTGTAGCTTTCTGTCTACGTACAGTGACGGATTCAACCATCGCAGACTTGACATAGACGTGATTGCAGTTCTCCAATAAGCCAAAACAACATCCGCCTTCCACTATATACGTAGGTTGAATGCTGACTGGTTGAAACTTTGGCTTGACCGCAATGGAGTGCACAAGAATTATGTGGTTATGACTGCAAATGTAAAAAGCCAGCCATGAAAGCAAACGTTCTTTGTCCAATATGACCCCTGTCTTCTCTGCACCAGCTACAAAACAAAGGACCAACAACAGCACAAACACGAACAAGAGTAACCAACATCTTCAGTTATTTGACATAGCCTATGTTTGATGCTGCCCCCAAGTGGCAGCAAACAGCTACAACAAACAGATGTTCATCTGTGAAACTTTGCAAAGCAACAGTAAGAGAGCAACGTTTCAGCCTTGATCCACAGCTGCCAATATGTTAATCTTGTCAGAAGTCATCTCATCGCAATCAGGACAAAGTAGCACATGGAGAAAAATGTCCTTAAAGGTGACGTACTTCGATTTAAAAGTCAGGTTTCGTGTTGTCTAAAGATACTGAAACAAAATCACCAGCCAATAATGTAAAGATTTAATGTTGGTGTTTCTTTGTGTTTATGCTCACGAAAAAAAAAGGAAAACTTGTATCCATTTACACAAATTAATAAATTGTGACTATTTCACAATCTGCGTCGCAAATATAGTCTATGGAAAGATCTAATGCCCCTACTTGTAGATGTTTTGACAAATTTAAACAAAGAAAGCATCGACAGCTTGGTGACTGGTCTTAGGTATGCACGGCCCAAGACATGAAGGCGCTTCGCCACCCAGAACATAGTCGGTACCCATCTGCAGAGCATCAGTGATATGGGTGAGATGGAGACAAGGCCAACCCTTGCCACTGGATTTTTACCCTCCTGACATCTGACAAGCAAAATAGAAGTATCCACTGCTGGATTTAACAATTTGTCTTTTTTGTGAGAAAGATAAAAAGACAACATCTATAATATCTTTATCCAATCTCATGTAGTTTGGTGACAATTAAACTGAATTTTTGAACCTTGAAGTCCCTGGAAAACTCCAATTATTTCTCCACGACAGTAAATATTTATGACTATGGGCAACATCAAAGTACTGTTTATTACAAATTTAACACTCTGCTTATCTGCTTTATCAGGACTGTGTGAGTGTGGTTCAATCAGGTTTGACTGATACTGACTAAACAATATGACTGACTGATGCTCAGAAGGATGTAATGTCACTATTTTTGCAAGTGGGCTAGAACGCAGGAGTGTCTTATGTAAAATAACTAAAACTTTTCTACCTTTGGCCATTTCATTTTGGTTGCCGTCACTTATAGCATTCAGTAAATACATTTTTGGGTATTTTTCAAACAAGCACAGCATCTGCATTTAAAAAGAGCAGTGAAACTGTTATGTTTGTTTTTGTGTTCAAGGTACGTCCCCACTGTGGATGATGTGGAAATGTACAAATCTCACAAGGGACCTGTGACGGAACTGCATATTGTGGATCAGTACATGATGGAGGTACAGTTTTAAATTTGCTATATTACCCAAAATGATACCATACCTTTAGGTATACCTGCTTACCCTTTAGAGAGCCCATCTCAGGGCTAACACAGAGAAACACTCATTCACACTCCTATGTCTAATATGGAATGAAAAATTAACTTAACATACATGTCTTTGGACTCAATCCAAAGAAAACCCACAGACTCACATGGAAAACATACAAAATCCACACAAAAACAGGTTGTACTCAGAACCTCTCTGCTGTGACACTCCACCACCATCCCGCCCGAACCAGAATTAACACTATCACAATTACAACAGGAAATTTCTTTAGATTTGACATGCGACACCATTATCCCAAGCAAAATCTAAAGCTGATGTGGCACTTTCTTTGCTCCCCTGCCTCCTCATTCTCACACTCTGGGTGTCATGACAAGCTTCGTCTGGTTATCACCTTCCAGTAAGCCTCGCAGTCACCTAGCTCGCATGTGGATGGCTTCAGGTTGCAGGAGGGATGACAGATGAACAGTCAGATCAGCCCACAGAGGCTTTCAAGAATATTTGACACCAGACATAAGGGATTTTATGTGTAAAAGACAGGGTGGCAACACCTATAGAGGCTTCATCTGTTTTATTTCTGCCTTCAGTAGCAGACTGCAGTCAGTCTGAATCCTACTAAATAGACAGCTTAATCAGTCCTCTTTACTGCCGCCAACAAAAGCAGGTATTTTGATATTGTGCTTACAAGAAACTGAAATGCGTCAATTGAAACTCCTGAGATTGGAGGTGATTGCTCACTCCTTTGAGGGCTTTTTTTTCCTTTCTTTTTTTTTTTTTTTTTTTTTAAATCTAATGCTCTGTAATTTTGAGTCATTTCACACATTCTCCCCCTAAAACCCATTGAATTATTAACGAAAATGAAAACGGTCGACACATTCTTTATGAATCATCACAATTTCTATCATTATCATTACTTGGAGTTAAATGCATCCTCCAGGAGGCACAGAAGATTTCAGCATCCACTGTTCTGCAGCACGCTGTGGACCAACATGTGAGGTCTGGCTGCTGCTTTGTTGTATTTGGTTACATCACTTTATATTACTGCCTGCGAGCTACCGTGTAATAATTTTGTGCAAACAGGGAATTATTAAAACTACTTATTGGGTAAAGCTGGGTGCAAAAGTTTGGGCACCCCTGAGCAAATTACATATTTTGCTGATGTTCGAAGTGAAAAGAAATACATCCCCTGCAGCAGGCAGAAATTAAAATGGAATTTTACTCAAATGTTAATGCACTGTTGCTTTTAGTATCTCAAGCTTAGAAATAACAACTTTTGGCAGATGTAAAATTTAGTGCTTGCAAACACTTTTTGCAGCCAGTTCAGCTTTTTTTTAATTCTTGATTTAGAAAATGTAGAAAAATTTAGCCTCCATTTTCTTGGAATTGTTCATGTTATCAATTTCTTGGCTAATTGCAGGAAGCTTGCATTTAGAATTGGACGATATTTAGTGACGTCTATCCCTCCCTTTATCTGTGCGATGTGTCATGTGCCACAGGCTGCTACACAACCCCAGTTAGTCTTCTTTTCATCAAATGCTGAATCATTTTTCTCTCCAAGCGTAATTTTGGTGATTGTGGCCAAAGAGCTCAATTTTAACTTCAGTCACTTCAGACAGTGACTTTTGTGAGGCAGTTGCAGGTAAGGTTTCCCTCTGATTACTTTTTTTCAGGTAGACCCTATTTGTTCATCAGTGCTGAAACAGTCCACCACCTCACCTTTGTGGCGTTCCTGCAGCTCCTCTGCCGCCACTGGGAGGTTTTGCTTTTCGGTCCTTGCCCGGCAGCCGGACAAAGAGTTTTCTTTGTCCTCCAGATCTAGTCTTTACCCCCACAGTTTCCTTTAACTGACATTTCCTTATGACATTTCAAGCACTGGAAACTGCAAGCTGTAAGCACTTAGATATCTTTTTATAGCTTTCCCCTGCTTTGTAGGCATCAATTAGCTCCATTTTCAGATCCTCAGTCTGTTGCTTCGAGGAGCCCACGGTTGTTGAGTGTTATCACAAAGTTTGAAGAGTCTTGAATGTATCAAGCTCTCAACTGTCATCAGCTGACAGCTTCTGAGGATAATTCCTCACCAGCCTAATGGATTCTAGGCCGAACAGGTTTATGAAGTTCTGAGACGATACAAATAGAACATATTAGCAAAGAAAGCATAATTTATTAATGTCTGTTCTCTGTATTTACTTCTTGTCACTTCCAAAAATCAACAAAATCAGTTGACAGCTTCGTGTTTAATGGGGTCTTTGAAATAAATTACACCACAAATTTCCTATTTCATAATTACAGTAAAGTGGTCCCATGTTCACCCCTTTCCTTGTAAATGTAGTGTAGCAGCTGCAATGTATATAAAAGATAATTACAAAATCTGGCTAAATCTGTTGACACTGTCTATATCTCATAATTATTTTTATAATATGTGATGGATAAAAAACATTCTTACAGAAGAATTTAGTTCTAGGTCCCCCCGCCTAAATGTAAACACAAAAATGTTCCACTCCAAGTCTTGTACCTACAGTATAGGTATCCTGTCAGCTTTTCCTTGCTGTGCCTGATACAGCCTCATAGAGCAGCAAACAAAGCTGCAGAGTCATAGTCTTATTTTCCCTGCTGACAGTTTGAAATGGTCTGGTTATCCGCCTAACAGTTCTGAATAATCACTTCCCTCTCAGGATGTTTGTGGACATAACAGCAGCATCCACAAGACACATTTTCTGCTATTAAACAAAAATATCAATATATTAGTGTTGAAGAAGTGACATTTTTCTTCGAATAAAGCAAATCTTGCTCATGCTTTCAAGGTTGTCATGCTCTGATGTGTCGCAATTGTCTTCCACCGAGATCCTTCTTGCGCTACACTGTGTGTACTGGGCTTACGTATCTATGAAAGCCTATTATTTTCGCTGAGAACTTAAATCTTGCGCTCTGCCACACCAGAAATCATTTGGTCCCAAACCCTCAAATTTGGTAAACATGAGACTTTCTGATTATACACATAAAAAATTTGAACTGGTTAAAAAAAAAAAAAAAAAAAAAAAAAAAGCCAGAGAACGTGATTATCTTAAACAGTGAGAAATGTGTGGACACATTATATATCAAGAGGATTAAATTAGAACAGTCCTACCTTAGCACGGGATGAGTGTAACAGTTAACATCCGATTGGGAATTTAAAATGTGTTAGAAAATGTGACAAGACAATGAGCATGGTGCTTGGGGAGGATGACACCTTGTAGGACATCTAAAAAAGAATAAAAACCCAAAATTACATGGTCTAGACAGTAATCCTAATATCTTTCCTTAACTATATGTCAGACCAAGTGCCCTTTGGCTTTTGGGAGATGGTACCTGAGCATGAGCGAGACGGTCTGACAACGTGGAGTGATTTATTAGAGGTTAGCACAGACACAAAGGTCGACTAGGCAGCTCAGCCAATCGTTTCAAAGTGTCAAGCCTTCAGTTTGTCTGTTAAATCAGCCTGTCGACAGGCCTGCAGCACTCGACTTTCGCCTGCAGTAATCCTGCCAAACAACTTGAGACTGAGAACAAGCTGCAGCCGTCCAGCGACTGTATCTCCCTGCAGCATCTCCCTGCAGCACTGCTTTTTAGATAATTCGGAATAATCACATGTAAATAGGTTGTGGGGTGGTGTGGTAACTGCACTCTCTTCTGTATATACACACAGTTCATTAAGCTTACATCCTCTCTCTGCTACAGATGTGCAACATCCCCTGCCTGAGCACACAACTCGACCTGCTGTTGACTCTGAGAGAGCTTCCGACCAGCATGAAAGACCTGCAGCCCGTGAGTTTACTCAAAACACTTACAGAGTCGAATCAAAGGTCAAATCAGATTTTGCGCTTTTTTGTTAAAGTCTGTCTCATTTCTATGAGCTGAAAAAGGGTGAAAGTAACAGCCTGCACGGCACACAATGAAACATGCAAATTACTCTGTAATGCAAATGCTTAATGTTCAGATACAACGTGGTTTTAGACATAAATGAAAAGAACATCTGTAGACAAACTGACATTAATACATGAAAGCTTTTTCCCCTCCAGTTTGACTTTTATGTTTGAAGTGGTGGCTGAAGTAGTTTCTATTCTATTTGCCGTCTGGTTAAGAGTCTTGAAAACAGAAAGGCGTGAGGCACTTTAAGAGATTTCTCTTCATTTGAGGTAGAAGACAAGATGAATCTTAATCAAATCAAGTTCCATTTTTCTGTAGGTGCTGTAAAACATACAAAGTATTTTTTATCGTTATCAAAAACCCAATGAAAATCCACTTTGGAGTTTTCATAAAGGGAGACTTTTCTTTAATCCTGCGAACTTCTGGACCCTCGTCAAATACAAGCACTCTCATATGCATACGAGTAAAATCAAATAAAAAATACACAAAGTTACAATTTATATACACAGTATATTTTTATTTTAGCATCTTCTAAACCCTGACACCTGAATGTTTCAGGCTTGAGCAGTAATACGTATCCAGACATTCCAGGTTCATCATTAGTCAGACTAATCGTTAACGCTCTTATAGGGGATTGTTGTTTATTGGCACCAGGGACTGCAGGGTGTGAAGATATTGCAGTCAGACAAGAATACCTCCCGGCTCCTCTGCCGTTTTTTTTTTATTTTTTTTATTTTGTTTTTTTTTATGTGATTCTCTCAAGCTTCTGTTTCTTTCAGCATCAGTGCTTCAGTCCTAATCTCTTGTCTGCTGACTGTCTGAGAATGAAGAGAAACAATGGATAAGAACGATGGCACTGTAATCCATTGACTGTGACAGTAATTTTTCTTTGTCTAACACACAGAGACAAACATATTGTGTGCTGGCAAGATGACTCGACAAGATAGATTAGCAATTTCATTAAGTTTCAATTTACTCTTGGCTTTTTCTTTCTGATGCTGTTTTCTTTCTACCGACTTAGATTTATTAAAAAAAAAAAAAAAAAAAAAGGTCATTCAATAAAAACTTTGGTATTTGCGTGCAGGTACTCTCCCTGAATGACCGCCGTTTGACCGCGCAAGCAAGATTTCCATTATGACTGAAAAATAGCTCGGACATGAATGTGGTGTATGTGTCAGGGATGTTTCCTGGCCGTCTGCTGGACATCCTTCACAAACGTTCTAGCAATGGGGAGTCAGCTGAATGCTTTCTTACTGTGTTCACTTTTTGTACAGTAAAAAAATGTAAGAAATCCTAGCAAAGGGATGCAAAGATAAACAATGATCCAAGCAGAGATTGTACTTCCTGGCTAACCGGTCATTGCCCAGAAAACATACACATCACCAGCATATATTGGAAGGGCAGAAGGACAATTGGTAGGTGTCCAGTCCAGACGCCTCTATGAATGCAATGCGTGATGCAACAAGATTATAATTTGCATGTAGATACACATAAATCCATTATTTATATTTTTTAAAATGGGCATTGAGTAATACTTGTCTTTGAACGTGAAGTGGACATTGTGTGGCTGAAAAAACATTAAATATATAAAAAAACAAAGACATGTATTTGCTTATTTCATAGCAATAATGTGATCAATTCAAAAAAACAAATCTGGCATCTAAGATTATTTTTGCCAAGTGACACACAGCGATGCAATGTTTGCTGGGCTGTGACAAAAAGTACGCTGCACTTCAAACTTCAGTCCCTCACAGCACAATGTGTTCGAATACAGAGAGGTTGGGGTCCCCTCAGTTGCAGCCATACTCTCAATCCTTTGATTCTGCGAAATGACAGGCTCGTTAATGCCCAAACGTTCCGAAGAATTTACCTGCCAACTGATAGACAGGGTTTGAGGAGAGAAAATGGAGAAGTCACCACCAAGGGGGATGTTTCTCACCTGCAAAACGCTTGTTGCTGTTCCACTGCTCGGATGACAGGTTTTTACTCCGCATTGTGGACCTGGCTCCTTCTTTAAACTGTTTGCTGTGCTCTGTGTGCAGCCGTCAGAGACACAGAAGCAAAGCCAGTGATGCAGTAGACAGGGAGAGTTCTGGGCAGGGAGGCATCACCTAAAAGCTGAGATGTACAGTACAGGTAAAACCAAATAGAGCATTTTCAGTAGTTATAATAACGGCCAATTATTCTGAGTTAGACCACAATTATCTTTTGTCATGTGACAGAATGTCCAGCTGGGGTAAAGTCCAGTGAAGGCTGCCAAAAGGTGGACAATATGAAGCAATGTTGAGCTGTAGTGAGATACTGAGCTGTATAGACTTGTTATCCTCCACCTCGCTCCATTTAAAACTCTTTCATCCACTGCGTCAAGGATGGATGGTTCCTTCAGAAAAGCTTAGGAAAGCAGCTGCATGCTGCTCTTTATTGCAGATGGAGAAGTGAACAGATGTACATTTGCCAAAACAATCAGTTCGTCTTTCATCCTTCAAATCTTCTCTCTTGTGAGAAAAACACTTCTCATAAAGCGGAGATCTAATATTTGTGTCGCTTGTCTCAGTTTGCTCTGGAGTTTGGAATGGGCTTGTGTTACCCCCTTCTGGCTTTTGGGACAAAAATGTCCACTACAACTGTGGTTTTCACCAATCATCAAGTAGCAGTAGGTGCTTTTGGCCCTCTGACCTGCGGAGTTATCAATGAGCCCATTAAAGCCTGGAGCACCAGAATGAGGAAAAGAACACTAGAAAGCTTAAAGGTCCCATGTGGTGCCACTTTTCAGCAAACTAATAAAAACCTTACATATCTGTCAGTTCAAAATACTACAAAGATGGTCCATCTCACCATGAGCAAATAAGCCCTGGATTTAGCCCTGTTCTACATGGACTGTTTGAGTGTTTGTAGCTTTGTATGCGGCGCTGAGCTGCTGCTGTCCTCAACCCCTCCAGGAAGAAGACTCTCTCTGCATTTGTTGACAACAGCTGACAGCAAAGCAGCTGACACAGACATGAATGAGTGAACCATCATTTTAAATTGAATTTTACAGCACAGACATTTTTAACTCATGTTTGGTGAGTTTGTCAGGCAACGTTGCCATTATAAAATCCGTAGTTTAGCATTGCAAAGCAGCAGCTTTGATGTGACCAGGTCGGTACTGAAAATGAGAACCAGTTCTCAACTAACTTACCTGGTAAAATAAAGGTTGAATAAATAAATAAATATGGCTCTGAAGTGATAGCTGTCACTATTTCATACTTGTTCTGTTGTTTAACAACTAAAACAAAAACTATTCAAATGAGAAATAATAAGGCATAAATGCAGTATATGTGAGATCAGAGAGCAGGAGAGAAGCAAACAGATGGAAACATTGGCTGAATTTAGGTTGGATGTAAGCACAAGTGACTTTATAAACAAGGCAACCCATCCAGTTCTGGTTTACTGGTTCTAAATCGCTCTTAAAGTTTCTATCATCTCCGAATGTCCCTCATTGTTTCAGTTTCCACAGAGCTCTGTTCTGTGGCCGTGGAATTGAGGCTAATGGTAATGTTAGCCACATCGCACAACATGCTAACCCTTAGGATTTCCTACTGTTGTGGAAACCTGAAAAAGGAGTCAGAAAAAGATTCTGAAATCCAGTTTTCCTTTTAGACCACTTGAATTCCAATAAGCTCAAAGATTAGTACAGAATTTTCTCCAACGTTGCTAAAAAAAATAAAATAAATACAGCCTACCCTAGCTTCAATTCCGCATGCCACATAAATGTGAGATTTATGCTTTATCAGAAGTATTTTCTGGTTTTACAAGAGAAAATGTTGTAAAAATGATGACTAACTAGTTGGCTAGTAGCTAACTTCTTCACCTCTAACAGAAACTAGCAGACATCTGTTTTCCTGAGCTTGTCAATGGGATCCATCCACCTCCCACACAGTGGATGAGACACGCGACAAGCCACCACTAAAATCTCTCTTCTCTGCATTGTTTGATGAGAAGGTGGAATATGAGTGAGAAATGAATAAATTAGAGAACAATCATGCTCTTTCAGAAATGCAAACAAAACTTCTGCCCACCTAAATGTCAAAGACACATCTCCTCCAGTGATATTGCTCTGCTTGCTAAGAACATGGCTGTGACCCACGAGCTCATGACAAAGTCCTACATGGTGGGAGGAGTTCTTCAGATTGCATTTGATTGGATAAATTAACGTGCTTGCAAATTTGTTGATTCGATCTTTTTCTTTTTATTTGTTTTACAGAAATATCTTGCAGCATCATATTTGTCTCATAGCAAGACATGACGGAACAGTTAATTGAGAAGCAGGGTTAGAAAATACCTTTTTTTTTGTTTTAAATTTCATGATGTCTTAAAATGTATTTAAAAGGATAAAATGCACAAGAATTATCACACTGTTTACTTCCTGAATTCATTTTTATAAGTCAGAGGGTCTCCTAAGAACAGGCTACATATCTGAGTTTTGCTGTCATTGAACTACAATAGCTTTTCACAGTGTTACAGATGGTCCTGTGCAAAGCCAGTTTATGTAAAGTAGCTGGATATCAGCTTTCTCTTCTGTTAAACTGAGGCGGTCCCACTGGTAGGTTTTGGGAGGTTATTCTTAAAACAGGAGCATATGGTGGGAGTGTTGTTGCAGGCTGGCACGGGTCTTGTTTGGAAAAGCTAACTCTTTGTGAAGGACTATGATTCCCACAGCATCAACTCCTCTTTCCTCTAATACACCAATGGCAAAACCTAAAATCTCACTTTAATTTTTTTTTTTTTTTTTTTACTAGCATGATTTCAATCCATATTCAACAGGACCTGCTCAGAGATGGTTAAACAGGGAACTCGTTTAATATTCTAGAGGGCGATTTGTACTTGACATGATTGCATACCAAATAATAATCTTGCCAAACAACAGGGCCGTGATTATTCATTTTATGAGGTCAAATGAGGTGTTGTGAGATGGTTGTTTATGTTCATAATGTTAAATTGTAAAGCCCGGAGTTATTTTTGTCAATTCTTTGTCAGCAAGCAGAGAGCCCCCCCAAACAAGCCTCAGCCTTATTCCATTTACATTTCACAAAGTTGTTGTGTGTAGAAATGAATGTGAGGGCCTGTATGTGGTTGGATTACAGAACAAAATGACTTTGCTCTTCGCCCCTGTGTTTGTCTTGCAGCTGATTAATCAGAAGATCAGAATGTGCACGCAGCTGTACAACTCCAGGTCATTTGTTTCCGTGCTGAAGTACATCCTCACCATTGGCAATTACCTCAACGAGAACGCCGGAAAGGAAAAGGCCAAGGGATTCCGCCTCTCCTCCTTAACTAAAGTATGAGTCCACCACTGTTGCCTGACCTTTGATTGAGTTGCAGCACTAGGCTAATAAGACTGCTCATTGACATACACAGCAGGGCTTCTGTGAATCTTTCAGTTTTCTCGCAGTTGCTCAGGTTCACTCAGGTCTTTGACACAGTCACTCTGACAGCTGTGCGACTGTGTCACTGCCTGGCTTCAGACAAGAAATCAGGCTACGGAGAAAATGTGGCCACAAGGGGCTTCATTTTTTTAAGGCCAATTCCTGCTTTTTGTGTCCATAAGGATCCATTGGAGGTGAATTTTCTTTGGATCCTTGTGGATGCCTCTGTGGATGTCCAACCGTGCATGTGTAATCATAATGATTTGGCGAAGTTTCTTCAAAAATGACTTCTACTGAAATGAACTAGCGCAAACTTGTGAATATTTTCATAAACAAATCTAGGTCCCAGATGAAACCGCATGACAATGTTCAAACTATTCAAGTACAATAATGTTGAATGTCTGTGCAAAATTGTAATTACAAAATGTATACATTTGAATTCTCACGCTCATCTCTGCCCGTTGACATTGCCTCCAATGTAGACAAAGTACCATCATTTTCAGACTATTGAGCGCACCTGAATATAAGCTGCACCCACTAACTTTAAAAAGAAACAAAAAATTGTACATATATAGGCCACACTTGTCTATAAGCTGCAGGTGTCCAAGTTGTAACATGAGATATTTACACAGAATTTTTTTTTTTAAACTTCTAATTAAATATGTACCGGTAACATCCACAAATACGTACCGTAAATGCTTTTTTCCAAACAGTGCCTGTAGCACAGCTGGTTAAAAAGTACAAAAATACAGTAGCCTACCAGGAAGAGTCATTGATGGCTATCTTCATCTTCCTTCTGCGCACTAAAACCACTAAAGTTGTCTTCTTCAGTGTTGGAATTGAACAGCCTCAGAATTACTTTGTCACACACTTCCTCAGTCCCTCTTTCACTGTTGCTCTCAATGTCACTTACGTCTCGAGGCAAATTCATAAAAATAGTAAAAATCCATAAATTAGCCGCATTACTGTTTAAGCCGCAGTGTTGAAAGTGTGTGAAAAAAGTAACGGCTTACAGTCTGGAAATTATGGTACAACACAAACACACTGACATGTTGGCAAATTGTCGAAACTATTTTAGTGGTATCAAAACCAAAGCATTCCTGAAAAATAGGTAGGCATAATCGCAACAGTTATTTGGTCCTCAAACAAGATTTTACTGGAATGATAAACCCTGCAGACAAAAGCAGTTGGTCTCAGAGCAGCAGATTGAGATCCGCTTGCAAACCACGTGATTGCAGCTTTAACTAAAGAATAAAACAATGTATAATTAACAACCTTAAAGGATTTTAATCACTTTTAACAAATAGATTTTGACTGATTTCAGCATCTATTTATACTTGTTGGGCAAATCATTGAACTACATCTATGTTTTCATGCTAGGAAATCATGTGTTTGCCTTGTTGTCGAACCTGTTACAGACCATCAGAGTCTTATCTTTCAACCTGCCACGCATGCACCACAAAAACAAAATGAATGTTTGTTTTCAGGTTTTACCATTATCAACACCTTTATGATTCATCAGTGAAAGAGCTGGAATTGAAGTAGTCACTGGGTGGTGTGATTTTGTACATGCTTCCCATCAGTGGCACCCAAACACAGTAGAAAAGTTCCAGATTCTCCAGAAATCCTGTGCTGCATCTCCACCCACTGTGTTTGGGATGGAAAGGCAACAAACTCCGGCTGCAGGCTACTCAGTTACGCTTGGCACACCTCTGGAATAATCATTAACACAGTGCTACAGCCCAATCTGTAATTATTGCTACATCCTGCAAAAATAACATAAAGTCACAGCCAGCTTATGAGAAGCATCCACAGGAGTGCTGTGTGTTTTTCTGTGTTCAGTGTGAGGGGCTGTGTGATGTGTCGCTGTAGCAGACCAAATCTCTGTTCACAGTCCACATCAATCAGTGCACGTGGAAACCGTGAACTGGCCTTTAGAGGTGAACCATCATTAAGTGCAGTCTGTCAGTCGATCCTTTCATCAAACAAAAATCTCTGAGCCTGTTTTCTGGTTTATTTAAAGAAGCAGTTCAACATTTTGGGGAATGCAACTTTTTCCAAGAGTTAGATGAAAAGATGACCATGACTTTCATCAGTTGGCAGCTGGTCAGCTTAGCAAACAGAATATCCTGAACTTTCTGCAAGTTGTGTGACTCCAAGAAGTCAAAAAAACTCCCCCCAAAAAACAAGAAACTGTCCAGCACAAAATCCCACGAAAACCATAACTTTCACAGAACTAATTGAAACAAACATGACATAATGTCAAAATTAGGAAACTGTAGAGGTACTAGATTTTGTTGGTTTGAGACTGAGCCAGACTGGTGTTTGTTTGTCTTTATGCTATGCTAAGCTAACCAACTGCTGGCTATAAGCTGTAGAGTGAACTGCCCCTTAAGAACAATGTCTTTTTCTTTTGTGTTTCACCTTTTAGACAGACAATACTTTTCTTTTTTTTTTTTTTTTTTAACGTATTTACTTTACTTATTGTCTGTCTGAAAGGCTAACTAGCTGACTTAATGTTAAGCTAATACCAGTATGCTATATTAGCTTCCTGTTGCATTATCTAGCTAGCTTAAATTCCTCGCTACTGTAAGCTAAGCCTGATATTTAAATGTTATACATTTAATTATCAGTGATAATAAAGTTATAAAGTCACAACTTTTGTTCTAGGCCCATCAATTTTGAATTAAATGGTGTTTAAAACAGTTTAAAAATATATCTGAAACAATTCCTATATGTGCTAGCCCACACATTTATGTTGCAGTTAAGGTCAGAGCAACATTACATTTTGCAAACAAATGGTAAAATCATGCACAAATGACAAATTTGTACGGATCAAAAAGACTGGTGAGGTAAGATTCCCCAGTAGCATCTTCTCTCATGATCGTTCTTTTTGGAAGAAGAATTTACTCTTAGTTTTATAATAACAAAATTGTACTCAGGTAGAATTTAATTGCCATCTTAATTTATTCACTTAAGCATACTTCTTGTGCACATGTTTTATTGATATTCAATATATATACATATTTAAAAGAAAATAAACATTGTTTTTAAAGGGTGGTGTCTTATTCCAGTTTACCCTTTTAGAGCAAAACGTAATTGACAGTTTTTGTTCAAACCAAATCCTCCATGTGACTTTCATGTCGCCAGTAAAGAAAATATTGTATATGTACTATATATTCTTATGAAAATAGACACGTTTTCCATTCCATCCATTATCTATACACCGCTTAATCCTCACTAGGGTCGCGGGGTGGCTGGAGCCTATCCCAGTTCACTTCGGGCAAAGGCAGGGGACACCCTGGACAGGTCGCCAGTCTATCACAGGGCCACGTATTTCAGTCTGTCAGAATGTTAAGTCAAAACATCTTTATCTCTCCTTAGACCAGAAATGTGGCTTTAATGGTATTTAAATAGTCATGGTAATGGCCACTTTTATTAAAGAATTGACATTTAATATAACCGACTATATTTTTTGGTCAGGAGGGGAATTATGGTGGGTGGGCTTCTTAGCTTTTACTAATATATATATCAGACAAATACAAGAGAGGCATCAATCCTCGCATCTAACTCTGGGCAAGAAAGAGAATAAGTTTCTTTTCATAAACAATTATTTTAAGGCTGTTGTAGTTCAAGGAGGCATAGTTTTTGTCTGGGGTTTGCAATAGTGTTTTCTGCATTCCTTTGAATTCAGTTTGAACCACTCTTTGGTGTGCAGGTCTCTCTGCTGGGAGGGTTTAAGGGGCAGAGCTCTTGGCACAGAAGTAAAACGTCCTCTGCTCCATTTAATGAAGCCGAGGCCCTGTGCTCCCTCAGAGGTGTTTCCAGGTGTAATTGAGAAGAGTAAACTGTTGCTGCTTGAGACAAACTCTCCTCAAATTAATGGCTGACTGCTTCCAAGAAAAATGCATCAAGGTTGTCTCAGATCTTTTTTAAGTCCTTTTTTTCTTCTTTCACTTCTGAGCATCAATACTTGGTGCATGTCTTGTATATGTATCCCTCAGAGGCTGGCCTGGGCCCCTAAATTGGTAAACAACATAACCTAGAAAAAGACTATGAGTGCCTATCACAGGACTAGAGATGTCCTTTTTGCATTTCAATTATGTGGCACCATCAAGTGTAACACGGCTTGAATTTCAGAGTCACCATTTAATACAAATAAAGCACAATTTGAAAGCAGCTGCTATTTATACTACTACTAATAAAATTGAGACATTAAAATAACACACAAATAGAATTTACAAGCTGTTTTACAGCTGGTTCTTCATATTGACACTCACACAGCTTAGAAGTAGAGCAGGTATTTCACATAGAAGCTGAACCCTGTGATGTTATATGCAGTTGTGTGAAAAAGTAAGTGGAAACTGTTGTCCTTTTTGACATATTTGGACAAACAAGCACATAAATCACTTTCCAACAGCACCGTCTAATGAAATCAAATCAAATCAAGTTTGTCATTTTGCTGTACATACAATAGTAGTACAAACAAGATAAGAGAGCACTCCTTCAGGATCCAATAACTAAAAGCAATTAAATATAAAAGTGTTTGCATATCTGGATCAGCAGTTTAGCATTCTGACAGCTTGTGGAATGAAGCTGTTGAAGCTGTTGATCAGTCTGGATGTTCTACCTTCAGTGCTCCAGAAACGTTTGCCTGGTGGCAGCAGTTCAAACTGTTTTTGAAGAGGGTGTGAGGAGTCCCTGACAATGTTCAATGAAGGTGATACACTCAAACAAATCACACAAAAAACTGATGGACTTATCATTTTCATTATCTAAACAACATCTAACAACAACCAAAAGGGCACAATAGGCACAACAAACCTAGAACAACAGGCCAAACTCTTTGAAGCTAGGTCAGTCATATAATAGAGCTAAGATGTATTTTTATGTACCTTTTAAAGGCTAATTCT